TTGATGGGCACCCGGCACCAGCAAGACATTCCTACTGAAGATGGTTGATGAGTATTTCCTCTGGCAAAAGATTGTTTTAAAATCAGTTATTTGTGGATTTCTACAGGTTCTTTAAAAGTCCTAAGCAAAGATTTTCCTCTTTGAATTTATTAAATATACTATTTAATATCCATTCAATTAACAAATAGGTATTTCTAGTATTGTTGCATTCTATAATTTGTTATCTATGACATCCATAGGGCCCTTGGGGAGGTTGAAGGCAGAGCAAAATACTAGCAAAACCTGTCCACACATATCATATCTATGAAGTCACTATATATAGCTTCTAAACACAGTGCAGCAGTCTCTAGTGCTTTCTCTGGCTGTATGGAGCATAAATCAGCACTTTTTCTCCCCTGTTTTGCTGTGCACTGCCAGTCGACTGGCTTAAATACGCTATACATGCTCACAAGGAAAAGGACAAATTCAGCCTTTTTTTTTTAATCTTTCTGGTTGCACATGAAAAAGAGGGTACCAGATGTGGAAGGTCAAGGACATTACCCATCAGTGCCTTTAAAGGTAATTCTGTTTTAAAACCATAGTTGGGTAGCTCCAGATGTGAAACGGCTGATTGTGTCACTCTGACTGTGACTAACTGGATGTGCTCTCTTCATCCTCTGGCATGGCAGTTGGCTCGGAGCTCGTCTGCCTGGCTGTGTGTTTCCTGGACGGGGCCGCCTTTTACAGCTGCTTTCTGTATCTCTGCTTCTGTCTCCTTGAACCCTAGTCGGCCTCGGCAGATGGCCGCTCACACTGAGCCTGGTTCTGCTGGAGGTTTCTTCCTGTTAAAAGGGAGTTTTTACTCTCCACTGTCACTACAAGCATGCTTAGTGTGAGGGATTGCCTTCGAGTCAATGAGTCGATGCAATCAACTGGTTTTCCTTAGATAGAAAACTTTAAATCAATCTGACTGGATGATCTGGTGAACTGTAAAGTGCCTTGAGATGACATGTGTTCTGAATGTGAATTGGTGCTATAGAAATAAACTGAATTGAATTGATTGAGGGGGAAAGCCCTACTGATTAGTTAATGAAGAGGATAGTTATAAATATTATAAGAAGCAGTTAAAAGTACTTTAGAATTCAAATTTGTATTTATCAACTTGTAATAGATATTTTTAATATTATATGTTTTTTTTTTTTTTGTCTTTTGGGATATACCACTCATATCTGTTGCAGACTGTATACTAGGTCTCCCTTTCATTCTCTTGATCAGTCCCTAAAGATTTTTTGTTTTATCTATAGAGAGTTTACACAGTTGTGTAACAGTCGCTATGTATTCAGCACCATTAGTTTATGCAGGTGGATAGAAATATGGATGCAGCTATGCAGCTTTTTGCCCAGGGGGCACACGTGTGTAAATTGGAGAGCTGTCACACTTTGGTCTCATGACTCCACAGAGTTGTGCGCGGCCTTCCTGGAATCTTATCTGAAGGCTATAATGAACTCGTTCCCCCTCATTTAACATTCTTTTATATGCCTAGATCTTGGAAAAACTTAAGAGGTGGCAAGGATTGAACGTTGATAAGGCTAGTCATAGCTAAATGCCCTTTAATGTCTGATAGTTTTTCTTTTAATGAAGCTAATACACTGAATCCTATTTATAGATTGTATTGTTTTCAGTGAGTATTTATAGATTCCTCTTGAACAACTGGGGGGGGCTTAGCTGTTATAGTGGTGAATTAGCTGTTAACTCCAGACTTTGATAAAAGTCACATTTCAACACTTGAACATCAGCTGAGACGTCACTCACCTTGCACTGTCTAAGAATGTATTGAGATTAGATTATTACTGTTAAACGCTAACCAAACATACCATAGGTCAGTGCTACTAACCTACATGTACATTTTTCTTTTTAGTCTTTGAAATAAATTGGCCCGCAGTGGGAAAAAAAACAACAACTTTATGTCCAACTTCTTAAATATCCTACCCTAGCAATAAAAAAAGCTAGTTTATAGCATTTGGAAATCTATCAGCCAATATTTGACTGATAACCAGATGCAGTAGTTATTGGGTGAAACATGATTTCAGTTATTTTGAGGCGATACAGAAAGAGGATGATAAGCATGAATTAAGTTGTATTTAGCTTCTTTTATCAGCATTAGCATGAGTGACAAACATGGTTTAAACGGTTTGCATGTGTGGAGGAGGGAGACGCCCAAACTTAACCTTAACGAGGCCAGTTTTACCTCATCAAACAGGCTCTATCATGGAAATTGACTTCTTGTTTGGATTCATTAAAACATTGATCCTGCTGTAAAAGATTCAGCCTTTTCTGCAGGCGTCTCAAACAAGAAACAAGCTAACTAGGACTGACCAGAATATGTCCAGTGTTTTTATACTCATTACACTGTCACAAGAACAGAGCAACGGAATTAACTCTACATTTAACCCATCCCCTTGGGGAGAAGTGGGCTGCCATTTATTTATTTTTATTTTTTTCCCATGGAGTGGGTAACAGTTTGCAGGAAATTTTTCGCAACATATGGTGATATTGCATTATAGTGATATCGTATCATGACCTATATGTATCGTATTGAAACACCCATGCCAATACTCATCCCTAGACCCTGTTTGCAGAACGGGTGACTTACCACTTTAGCCCCTACATGCTCAAACTGCTCTGAGTGTAGAGTTTTTATTCATTGATGGGCACAAGAGGTTGCCTCTGTATAAAATTATCTTTTCTTTCTGGAATCTTCAAACTGCTTTCTTGCAGCTCCTGGCTGACTTGTTAATTTGGCGTTACTCTCTTCTTGACAAACAGCCTCTGTGAGATGTCACTGACTTTTAGGAAGCTTTTGTTTGATTGCTAATCAGAGCAGGCTAAGCAAGAGGCATTTCAATCTTAGTCAGCTGGAAGTTTCTAAGTCCAGATTTATTCTAAGGCATCCAAGGAAAAGTAAACAGTCTTATCTATTTTATAGCAAAGTCTGCTCTGTTATTCTTTGAAAAACACTCTGTAGTTATAATGTAACTAACCAGGTTCTGTAGTTAAGAGTTGTCCATCACAGTTGCTATATTATATATGTGAGTCACCTCAAAGGGATTATGCTACCTTGCAAATTGAGTAAAATCTGCTGAACAACAGTTTGTTTTAAGTAAATTTTTATATGGTATATTCAAGATTATTTTAGTCTTTTTTTTTTTTTTTTTTTGCACGCTGTCCTTTTTTGTTTAGGCAGCTTTATTGGAACAGAATGCTTAATTTGTTAACTTTATTAGCCTAAACCCAAGGCAGGCTCCTAACAAAATATTTCAGAAAAGCTAAATTAGAACAAATATGTTGTCCTTTTTCAGTTTTTCTCCTCAAGTGTTCAATAGATAGTTTTAGGGCTGAAACAATCAATTGGATTAATTGTGATTAATTGATTATTGAAATAATCAACTAAATAAGTAATTGATCAATCGTTAAACAGAGTGCAGAGACTCTAAAACCGGCCTTTCACTGACAGTGACCCACTTAGAGCAGTAATTCTGCCAAAATTGTAAAAAAAAAATTCACATTTGAGAAAAAAACAATACTTTTCGTCTGTCAATCTGCTCTATCCAGAACTCCTCTAGTGGAAAATGTATATTTTCACCTGGTTTAATTTAGTAAAAAGTCTTCTTTAAGGAAGCTTTGACTATTAGATTATTAATCGATGAATCTAAAAAAAGAATCAACAGATTAATTGTTATTTAAAGTAATCGTTTGTTGCAGCCCTGGATTGTTTGCAGTCACATGTCTGAATAAAAAAAAAGATGCAAAACTCATGACAGGATTTCAGTGTTTGGGAAGGATTCTGAGCGCATGTTTCCAGCCATGCAAAGGCAGTGATCTCAGATAGTTTGTGTAATATCTTTTATTAAATGTCTATAGCTGTATGTTCCCATTTTGGTCTCATGTTGATTTTAAAATTCCTCTTGTCTTTGTGAAGTTTCTCCCATTAAAACGCTGAACCCAACAGTTCCACCCTTTCTTATACTTATTGTAATTGGCAGGCCAAACGTTATCTTGCTTTGTATTTTGGCTGCCAGCTCATAGGATAATTGCTACCTCTGTCTGGATGCTATGCTTTTTACGGGGAAAAGTGAGGAGGAGCTCAGCTGTGAAGGTTTTAGATTGTTGTTTACAGTTCATCGCATAGGAACGCATCTGTTCCCATTCATACATACGACCTCAAAAATGTAGTTTGTGTCTGAGAGGGGAAGAAACGCAGCGAGTTTTATCTCTACAGAAACGGGGATAATATGTTGCACAAAGGGAACAACCAGAGAGGAAGAGGGAGGGAGCGAGGAAGTAAGAAAGTGACTGAGTGCTGTGTTTTTGGCCCGGCCTCTAAAGTCTAATTCTTTTGTTGCCTGACATTTTCGGGTACCATAGTTACAGGTTAGCAGCAAAAACAGCTTTATTCTTCTCCTTAACTCTCTGTCAGTGATCCTGGTATTATTTTATTTCTGTTTAGTTATTTTATCCCCTTTCAGTCTAATTTATAAAGAAAACTGATTTTTACATAAAACATGACGAATCATGGGTACTTTTTAATTGGCATTGAAATTATTTCTAAGGGCATTAAATTAGAATTGCTCATTCCTGTATAAACCGTTTTTCCTTTTTGTCCAGTCTAATCTAGCTCTGTTAAATAAGATTTCCATCTCTTGTTTACCTCAGTTAATTGAGTCTAGTTTACTTTCATGTATTTATATATAATAGGCGTTCTCTGGGTAATGGACAGGAGCAGTCTTGGTTGATGGGGAAAGGTTTTGTGTCAGCTGAATGAATCACCTTAGGTGGTGTGTCATCAGTAGACAACAAGGTATATCATCGAGGCCTCTGCCCGTCCACTAATCCTTTCCCACACACCCCCTCCTCTCTCACCTCTTTCTCCCCAGCTTTAGTATAATATCCAGTTTGTCTCAGACACATTCATCTGCCCCCCTGAGTGGCGTCTTACAGATTAACAGTGGATGGAGTTTAGAGGCAGCAGCCTCACGCTGATCGCTCAGTCTTTAACCAAGGCCGGATCTGTACGCTAACGGCAGCACGCTAGACTTTGAAACCTTAATGGAAGATGCACGCAGCCTTCTGAGAGGAAGAGTCTGGCGCTGAGGTGTCGCTGATGATCTAGTGCTCAGGGGGAGGTTGTGGTGACAGCGGTTTGTTCAGGACATGCATAAAGGATCCTTGGTATGTTCCTGTACAAAGCCCTTAAACACAGAGATGAAGAGGAGGACATCCAGGTACACACTTTGTTGTTCATTGGTCAAGAGCTAAAGACACCTGTTTATCCAAAGTTGGAGCCAGACCCGTGTAACGGTGGAATTACCTCTGCTCATCAGGGCTGTAGAGGTGAAACTTTGGTCGCTCTGGATCTTTGTGTTCTTGTTGTTTTTATTGCAGTGTGCCGATCACAAGGTCCAAACAGTAATATAAAGGTTATAGTTTCAGGAATTGTTCAGATCTTTCGGTGTAAAGCAGGTGACACTGTTTGGAGACTTTCTCTCTGTGAGTTGGTAGGGATTAATGGGGCTAATCGCTGCTGGGTTCCTCTGAGCTCCACTTGTGGAACAATAAACTGTTTTCATTTAAACCCTATGAAAACTTGCAATAAACATTCACAAGTTTATGCTTGTGTTTATTGCTGTCTAATATGTAGGTTTCTAAAATCAATTCTTGAGTTTTGTGATTAGCAAGTTTAAAAGAATTCAATTAAATCTCCAACTTTCCGCTAAATCCTGGATTAGAGGCTCAGAGTACCCTGCAGCCTTTTATATTGTGGTTTATTACTTTCAGAGGAAAATGTTAAAACTCTACAATCCCTTTCTACAACAAGCCTTAAAATGTCTTATTAGTTACAGCAAGGTAAAAAGACCCCATCATTTTTAACTTGAGCTGTCAGGAATGGATTAAAAAGAATGGTTGATTTTTAAAGGCTTAAACTGGAGTATTCATCATCTGACCAAAGTTTCTTTTTGTTCCCCACAGTCCCAGAAACCCTGGATAGAAAGCACTTTCACCAAGAGGGAATGTGTGTACATACTTCCAGTGTCAAAGGACCCCCACAGGTAAACGAGCCGACCACACTCTGCTCTAACCTTTATTGGTCTCCATGGAAACACTGTAATTGCAAGGTGTGAGTCAAAGTAGGCCCTGATGCTTACCGCTGCTCTCCAAAGGGTAAATGAGTCTGTTTCTAATGTTTACCTCTGTCAGTGTCTGGAATTATAGCTTGAAATATAGCAGTGGTCACAAAGTAGTTTATTTTTGTTTTTTGTCGTTTAGCAGGTTATTTTATTTGTCGGCCCTTTTACATCTCTTTATACCGACACACAGACGGCGCTAGCAGAGTACACAGGTGCTTGCATAATATATTGTGGGTTTGAACATCCACTGATTTACCCAAAAATAAATATTCTCAGTAAATGTAACTTATTTAACGAGTAGAAAACTCTCAGATTTACTGTTTAACAGCCTCCTGTTACTATAAGCCATTTCTGTTAGATTTCCAAGAGGCTGGATGCCTTCCTCCTTCCTGACATGCACAGCGGATCAGTCTTTGTTTTGTTTTGTATTAATTATTTCCCACCAAACCGCTGTACGTGCTGCTGCTCCCAGATACGTTTTGACATGTTCTTGAACAAAACCTCATTTGACATTAAGTCCAAGTCCGTCAGATGACTAGAGCCCATGTGAGAGAGCTTTTTTTTCCTTTTTTTTTTTTTAAAGCTAGTAACAAGATAAATTTTTCCCTCATTCTGTTTAAATATGGATTTTAATGAAGTGTTTTGCAAATTAAAACAGATTTCTTAAAAGAAGAAAATAAAGTAGCCAAAAGGTGCAGAGCTCCAATCTGCAACAGTTTTCATTTTAAAAATGTCCTAAAATCCACAAGAAGGCATATATCAACAAAAGTGATTAAAACATGTCCTCCTATATTATTTTACAATACAGATTTGATCAAGATTTTTACAAGATTGGTTTTGAACAGATCTGCTGTTGTTAGGGATTTAAATCACACCCATCATGGCGATTTGATTCAGTATCAATTTCCTGACCCAATGTTTCGATTATATTCGATACTCTAGAATACACCACGATTGGATTCAATTAATTGCTTTTTTTTTTTTTTACCTTACAGGCTAGACAATGTTTCAAATTTGAAATAAATCAATGAAAGGTGTAATATCGTTATGCATTTTATTTGAGAAACAACAGCAAATAACAGAAGTAGCAAAGTTGTACTCCACCTAGGCCTATGAAAACCTCATTGACTGAAAAATAATATTGCCTCTGTGTTATAGATTCTTACAGGCCTTGCATCAAAAAATACTTGAATGAGGCATAAGTACACTAGCAAATTAAGTAACAAAATTTGGCCTAGACTACATTCACTAAGAATAACCATACTCAACAAAATCAGTGCAATGAGTGAAAACGTGCAGTAGCAGCAAATGGTAACAAGTGTGTGTGCAAGCAGAAAGAGGGTAGTGGCTAAAGGAAGCGAGGTAGGAGGGCAAAATAGGTTTAGCGCCACCGCTGCACGGGAGACAGAATAACATCCAGGAGCAAATGGATAAAAATCAACCAGAGAAAAAAACAACTTAACGCACCAGATCATCGGCTGTTGGATCGATGCATTACCGCAAAACGATTATTATTTACACCCCTAGCTGTTATGCTGGATTTAGTCTTTTTTTTGTCTGTTTATTTTAGCTCTTAGGTTGTAACGATACTGACGTTTCCATTGTATCAATAGCCGATGCAACATGGGTTTTAAAAAATGATTAAAGGCATAAAAAATGTTTATATAAAAATGAAAAACGCCTTTTTTAATCTCAGTATGGAACTTGCTTTGTCAATATTCTAAGGTTCTCTGATATACTCTGCAAAAAATCCAGTAATCAAAAATTTTTATTTGCATCTTTTTGATGTTATTAATTTTAAAGTATCAATACCATGCCATAGTAGTATTTTATCCAGATACAGAGTTTGGGTCTCAGTACTTTAGGGAATATTGATATTTTTGGCAGCCCTAATAGCTGTACAGAAGACATTCTGTTGCATTGTTTATTATAAACTGTAGACTTAAACAGTAGGTGTCACTGTGTGAGGGAGGAGTCTGTTTCTCAGTTTAATGGTTAACATTAAATCTCAAACTGTCTTCAGCACCTTAGGTCAGTGATTACTGACACTGTTCTGTATGTAGCCTAACCTAACCCCCAGCCCCCCTGAGGGTAGTGATCTGTGTTAACATCTGACATCCTTCTGTTTCTGTCTTCTATCTTTTCTGCTTCCTCTCATGTCACTTTTTAACAATCTAAAACAAACTCCTCTTCACTCAGTTATAACTTCCAGCCTTTGGTCACAGCAACCTGACAGTGTACAGGAACATGCATGCTGCCTTTACAGCTGAATCCAGTTATTGTGATTAATTGGTTTATGAAATAATTGTCATCCAATTTGGTAATCGAACTATTGATACAGACTCTAAAACCTTGCATTTGTTGAAAAAAATTACCAACTTGGAGCAGTAAATAAAACAAAACATTTTCCATTTAAGCCTGAAAATCTTATATAAATAATTCCATCTGTAGGCACATGTATATATTTTATATTTTGTATTTTCCATTCCTTTAAAATGTGCAATTAAGTTTTTTTTTTTAAACATGATTTATAAATGTTGATTTATGAAAAGTATCTTTTAATATTGATCACAAAAAAGTAAGTAAATAATTGATAAATAAAATAATCACCAGCTGCAGTCCTATTGGTGTTTTTTAAACATGTTCCAGTTTCTGACTTGTTATCTGTAATGAGGGTTTATTTTATGAAGTAAAACTGGGTTCAGTTGCAGCAGCTTTAATCTGGTTGCTTTAAAATGGAGGACACCACTTAGACCAGGAAGCAGGATCTGCACTTCTATTCCACCACACCTATAGGAGTAGCAGGGGACACAGTCAGTAAACACACACAGGCTGTTAGACGCTCTGCCAGGCACCAGGGCAAAAGCTTCCAGAGTTGTTTTTTTTAACAATAATAAAAATAAAGAAAATAATTCTGTAAATAAAATGTACACACCAAAATAATGTGTGCCCCTGTAACATGTAAAATATTGAGTAAAAGCTAACAAAACAGTCAAGAGTACATGACACAAGAATAATAACTGCATGACAAAAACATATTGCCATTTTAATATATGGCTTATCTTCACGTAAATTATGCAGTGCTTCAGTTAAAAAAAACAACAAAAAAACATAACACACCTATAGGAGTAACGGGGGACACAGTCAGCACACACACATGCTGTTAGGTGCTCTCCGTCTCCTGCAGCAGATCATAAAATATGCAAATGAGGGAAAAAACTCCATCAAATTTAAAGAAATAAACAGCGATTTTCAGCAGCCAAAACAAATATATATTCTGCTGTGCATTAGCAATGATTTGGTTACGTTTATATCCAGGTTAATACAGTGTAGATTATGCTAGCTTAGCCAACAGACAGAGAGCACCGCAGCACATCTTACCTGTGCAAAAGCTTCCAGAGTTTTGCCCGGCAGATCGAGCCACGCCATGATCATGTTGTGTACCAGTAATTAAAGTCCCCCCCGCTACAACAGCTGACACGGAACAAAAAAACAACACATTCAATTTAATGCTGATTTTACATGGAAAATATTGCTCACAGGTTTTGAGAATGTTTATGAAAATGAAAGATTAGAAATAAAATAATTTGTATTATGTGCGTCATATTGACACAGTTACAGTGTCACTCTGGCAGGAGGCCTTATTGATCCAATGCACCCCTGACACCTTGTTGGTATAAACCACCTTGAAAACTGTCATTAATCATGTCTGTCTGCAATTGCTCCTTAGATGCCTTCCAGGATGCCAGATCTGCCAGCAGCTAGTGCGGTAAGTTGTTGTTTTTGACGACTCAACTAAGCCTGAAAGGCAACAGAACCTCCTCAGGAACCAGTTAATATGAAAGCTTTGCATTCCTCACCTTTGTCTTTTCTAAAGAATGTGGGGAGATAAAAAAAAAAAATGGCTCAATGTCAGCAGTCTCCTGTAGGTTAGTCCGACATTATTGGATTTACCTCCCCTCCTTTTGAAGTTCCTGTCGTGTATTAAAAATCTGCATCACACCTATATTAGTTTGCTTTCTCGCCTACTTTATAATGCAAGGAAGTAAAATGAGATTTTGGAGCTACATGCTACACTCTGTACATTTGTTTTCTGGAACATAATACCAATGTAGCATGCCTTTTACTATTTCACAATTATGATCATGTTTAATATCATTTTAGAAGCTGCTGAAAGGAGTCTAGTCCTGATGGTCTGACCTATATTGATGGACTTTTATTGAACTTCACTTAGAAATGCTGCTGCTATGTCCTCCAGGTGCTGCTGCGGCCGGCTGGTGCGCCAACATGCCGGCTTCACTGCAAGCTTGGCCACAAAGTACTCCGATGTGAAGTTGGGTGAAAACTCCAACCTGCCCGATCCAGAGGAGTGGTCGGTGGAAAAACACACAGAAGCGAGTCCAACTGATGCCTATGGTGTCATCAACTTCCAGGGAGGGTCTCACTCTTACAGAGCCAAGGTAGGGGGGCCTAGTTTCCTCTGCTGGCAGGCTTGGTTTCCTCTCTGGGAAGTTCATAAAGATGGGTGGATTCTCTGGTTCAACGTCATGTTTTAAGGGGAGCTTTGGTTTATTTCTCTCTGTTTTTTGTTTTTTTTTCATAATTCTGTTTATTCAGTTCATAAGCATAAACTTTCAGTTGAAGATTTTCTAATTTTATTAGCAGAATTTAAAAGCTGTGCCGTTTTCCCTCTTTCTTTTTTCCACAAACAGTATGTGCGTTTGGCTCACGACACGCGGCCGGAGAGCATCCTACGGCTGATGCTAAAGGAGTGGCATATGGAGCTCCCCAAGATCCTCATCTCTGTCCACGGAGGAGTTCAGAACTTTGAGCTGCACCCTCGCATTAAACAGGTGGTGGGAAAGGGTCTCATCAAAGCTGCAGTCACCACTGGGGCCTGGATCCTCACCGGAGGCGTCAACACAGGCATGTAGTATTAAAAAAAGGGCCCATCTTTGAGATGCCTCACTTAGATTTGATCAAATTTTCACTTTTATACTTAAAATGAATAAATATATCCAACTAAAGATTAGATTTCTAAAATTGAAGCCTCCTCCTAATTAAGTATGCTTGGGTTTGTCCTGTTAGAAAGGACAGATGTGAACTGTAAACAAACATGGACACTGTAAACATTAAGCCACCATTAGCATGTAGTGCTGATGCAGCAGAAGTTGTAATAGCGGCCTAGCAGCATGTCATTTGGCTGTGAATCGCGGCTGAGGTGTGTCTGCCACCACAGCAGGATGCTAAGATGCTGTGGTCTGATCATAGTGTTTAAGTCATTACTCACAAGGTCAATTACCCAGACCAGTGATTACTCCTAATGCCTCATTGGCACCCTGGCCACCTATGATGCCTGTCTAGCTCACAAACTATTGCTGAATCCAAGAGATCCAGTAGTGGAGGCCTGTGGTTCATAAGCTTCTTGTGGACTTGTCCTATAGGTAGAAATCTGCTCATAAAAGCTATGTTGTGGTGTTTTTTTATTTATTTATTTTTTTATCCAAAGGTGTGGCAAAGCATGTTGGGGATGCGCTAAAGGAACACTGCTCAAGATCATCAAAGAGAATCTACACAATTGGTGTCGCCCCGTGGGGAGTGATTGAAAACAGGAGCGATCTCATTGGCAGAGACGTAAGGAGCAGCTTTTGGCTCAAAGTGATCCACAGCCACTGTTTAATTCTGATGTTCATTTCTGCATATTTTTGTTTTTGTTTGTTCTTCTTCCCCAAATGCAGATTATTGTTCCGTATCAGACCCTGCTGAATCCTCTTAGTAAGCTGAACGTTCTGAATAATCTTCACTCCCATTTCCTCCTGGTGGATGATGGGACTGTGGGCAGATATGGAGCGGAGGTCAAACTGAGGCGGGAGCTGGAGAAACATGTTAACCTGCAAAGAATACACGCACGTAAGGGGAAATAAATGCAAGGTTGTTGTGAAAGACCCACTGATTATATGGAGCTAGATCTGTCTCAATTTTCCCTAACACACATATGTGATCCACACATGCACAGAACGATTCACACAAGCACAAAAAAATCCACACACAAAGGACAAGATCCACACATGCACGACTGACGCAAGCACACGAGATCCACACATGCACAGCACGTGATTAGCCAAAGTATTCCTGATCCATAAACAATTATAAATTAGATTACAAAGTACCAGTGGTCTTTAAATTTCACTGCATTTGTGTGGATTTTTGAGACTCACCTGATGTGCCTCGATACACAAATGCATTTTTTTATACGGGGGATGGTTTGCCAATCATAAGAAAGTACTCCATATGGGAGGACCCCCAGATCTTGTGTGCTTTCGTCAGTCGTTCTGTGCTTGTGTGGATCTTGTCCTCTGTGTGTGTGAATCGCAAAGGTGTATTTGTGAAAATTGAGACCGATCTAGCTCCATAGAATACAGCTATAAGCTGCCTAGTAAAGATTTTATGCTGGTTTTCTCCAACATGGATGGAAGACACTCGCTGACACTGTGACGCTGCCTCTCTTTGTGTATCATAACCTTTCTGGTGGATAAAAGCAGGACATAATCCAAGACCTCTCTAAACACATTTTCACTACTTTGAAATTAGCTATAAGAGGTTTAGCTGGTGTCACTGCAGATGAGGTTTCTAAAATAAACGCCTTTCTCAAATTTGAGAGTAAATGCACGTCACAAATCATAGGATTTTCATTCATAAAATGTTTCTGTAAACTTTGTATCAGTTGGACAGACTAGATCTATAAAGATTGACCATAATACTCCAGTTTGACTTTGCTAACACATGAGAAATAATTATTTGTTTTTCTTATAGACTTTATTTTAATGTCTTTTAAAAGAATCTGTGTGAAGTGTAAGGTATTTTAGAATAGAGCAGTAAAAGTGAATGTGAAGGTAGTGTTTCCAACAAGGACATGGAGTTAGCCTGTGTTTTACTGGCAGTTTGCCTCTGCTTGGTGGAAACTATGTGATAGTGGGGAGATTGGTATTATCACCTTAACCTCTCACACAGTTTCTGAAATGCTCAGCTACTTTTAGAGAAAAAAAAAGTTCCTTAGAGGAATTTCAGCAAAGAAAACCTTCATTTGTTGTAGGCTTAGTGGGTTTTGGTAGAAGGTGCACTGAGGGTCAGTTTGATTAAAAGGGTGAAATCTCCATGCAGGTTTTTGTCTTGTTTACCTGATTCGTTGGTGTTTATTTTATTTTTCTTAGGAATCGGTCAGGGTGTTCCTGTTGTAGCGCTGATCTTTGAGGGCGGTCCAAACGTGATCCTGACGGTGTTGGAGTACCTTCAGGAGAGCCCTCCCGTCCCTGTGGTGGTGTGTGAAGGGACCGGCCGAGCTGCTGACATATTGGCCTACGTCCACAAGCAAACAGAGGAGGGGGGGTAGGTTAAACACACGGAGCAGCAGGTCGGCCAAAGAACAGACCGCTCGGGTGACATGATTAATAGCTGAAAGACAAAACCAGAATAGAGAAGAAACAGATCAGTTTGTTATTGGCTGAATGAGGTTTCATTTAATGGGTTCTCATCATTCAATTTATTTACATTTGCATTTGTTTATATTTTTTTGTAATCATCAGCAAAATTGTTAAGAAATCAGATCTAACCATCTAGTTAGGAAATACTTAGCTGGTGATTGAGCCTAAACTAGAGGAAACTCCTAAATATGTCACAATATGACTCATTGAAGTCAGTTTATAAGAAACAAGCTGGCATGTTGGTGCAATAGGATCATAATGAGATGAAAGAATAGAAGATAAAAAATATTATTAGGAATCTTAAGGTTGAAATCTCAAATCCAGAAATGAGGTGACAGAGGAAGTAACGCCGTGAGCAGAGATTTCTCTGCTCACTGTTTAAGGTATAGGATAACACGGGGCTGCCCCTCCTCCACCTGTTGTTGCTTACAGATGGCAGCGCTGCTAAAAATAATAATGGTAGGACTCCAGAATATGAAGCAACTAATTTTATGATAACAAGTAGGGTCCAATTTTTTTTTTATACCTTTAAAGGGGTCATAGAATGCAAAATTGAGTTTACATTGTAGTAGATGAATAACAATAGTTCAGAGTGTGAAATGGATGTACAGAGAAGTTCAAACCCCATCGACACGGCCTTTCTATTCAAATCTCACAATTCCAATCGACCATAAAATGGGCGAATCCAAACGAAGCCCCGATTTGACATCAATTCGGGGACGGTGCCATAAAGATGTAAGAAACTAGTTTAGTGTTCCTTGACAGTGTCGTTTCTAAGTCACCAATTTAGTACTAGTTGGTCCCAATGGAATTTCCCATTGGAAACCTACTAGCACTAAGTTGCTAACTGGTTTCGACAAAGCATCTGGCTAACCAAATTTAAATAAAACAACGGCTAACACAACAATCTTGCCCCCTTAATAAACGACCAATCACATTCACTTTATTCACTCATGTAAAGTCGGGCACCACTCGGGAGAATTCTCAAATGCAACGGTTTGAACAGCCGCTTTCCTACGACTTCAAATTGCGTTTCCCTCAAACAAAGCTGTGTTCCCCAGATCACGTGTCAATCCCTGCCTCCTTACCCTTTATCACTGGATATTCCCAGGTCCTTCCGCTCCGTGACATACTAACCAATTTGAAAGAAATTCCCTTTCTGTTCAGGTTCTACTTATCAGATTTTTATTCTTGTCTGAAATAGCTCAGCAGTGAGGAGTTCTTTTACAAAGACGTGATGTCAGCTTTGAAGTAGTTATTAATACCCAGTAAAGGTTAATTTAGTTGACTGTAACCTGTGAGGAGTTTACAAACATTAGTTTGGCATGTGGGTTACCTCATTGTTCTTGTTGCGGCCTGCCCGGTTTCCTCGAAATGAGAGCTGCAGCTCTTTGAATTTAATGATGCTCTCAATGTTCCACATTCTTAGATCTTGTGGAAACAGGTTTGTGTTCGGTATGTCCTGTACGACTCATAAACGTTGCCTTTTTTAAAGCAAATGTTTTGATTTGAGATAGAACAAATAATGGTGCTTAATATGGGAGGTCACATATAAACACATTGTCCTGTTTATCACTTGGTGCAGCTTGACTTGTAATCAAATGATACCAAGAGTGATCTACTGTAGTAGATCTCTGTAATCTACAATTCATTTTACTGTTAACCCTTTAAGCCAGACTAGACCAGGCCCATCTGACACCAGCAGAGGTTTATCTATTTATAGAAATGGCCTAAACACAGTCACATGGCGTTTCAGCCACACGCCTTTCAAATGGGCCTTTAAAATTTCGTATTTCAAAAATACTTTGCCTTATACAGAAGATCTCCAATAATGAAAATCAGCATATTTGTCTGACCAGATTCCCTTTTGTGAGTGGGAAAAAGTCATTTTTGCATATTATGGCCACTTTTGGCACCACTGTGCCAAAATCACGTTTCCACCTAGCACACTGCCCACTAAAACTTTATTGGAATAAACGTGTTCCAACTTATTCAGTCCAAATTTGCTTCAGTTATGGTCAAGAGTTTTGATCTACAAAGTCTGAGGGTTCATCCAGAGTTTCAAATGGGTTTTCATGGTGTTTTGCTGCGTTTATTTTGGAAGAAATTTTGGCGGGGCTAAATTTTATTTATTTTTTTTTCTTTAATCGACTATACATCAGACATGGTGACATTTAAAATAGTTTTTCCACCTGAAAAAATATTCCTCAATGCCTTTCTGTCACACAAATACTAACAATTGTATTTCAATTTTTTTTGTTTGGGAGCTGTACTTTATTTTATTCACATATGTAATTTCAGGCGGCATTTGCTCCTAAGACCCTCAGGGCTTAAGGGTCCAAAATCCATCTTATAAAACATTTAATTGTAGTGATTGTGTCTAAACAGTGTGACTCTAATCTACAGCGGCCTTCCTGATGGGGTGGAGACGGACATCATTGCAACCATCAAGAAAACGTTTAACTTCAGCCAGGGGGAAGCCATCCATCTCTTTCAGAAACTGATGGAGTGCATGAAGAGCAAAGAACTGGTAAAACTTAGTTCCCTTTTTCATGACACCAGAGCTGCTTACAAGCATCAAGCAGCCAGTTAGAATGGCGATCCTAAAAAAGATGACATTACAGAAACTTAAGTTGTTTCTTTTATCACAGACAATGAGCCCTTTAGTTTTAGATAATGAGCTTTATTTATTTTTCCTTCTATATAATGATTATTCACAGTGTTAAAGCTGTTCCTGGAGTCGGTGGCTTTTCATGCCTCCGACCGCTCCATTTGAATCCTCTTTAGTTTGATGACCTTTGAGCCAGAAGTTTAACTCTGAGCAGCTGAGGACTCCCGTGTTAGTAGTTTAAACTGATGGCAGGGTGAAATAACTGGGAACATCTGGATAGGATCTGTGGGAACCTGCTACTAATCCTTATCTTGTTTCTTGGTCAACAGATCACAGTGTTTCACATCAGCTCAGAGGAACACCAGGACATTGATGTAGCTATTCTGAGGGCCTTGCTCCAAGGTTTGTGCGTCCTGCTTTGTATTCTCCAGCTCGTCTAATAAAAGAACTCAGAAGCAGATTAAATGGAGTCATATACTGCAATTTGTGGTATTTAGATTTTAATATAGCTTTTTTTTGTGTGTGTGTTTTCATTCTGACATGGATATGCTTTGAGAACAGTTCCCCCTCTGTGCCCTTCTGTTTCTGCTCATGATGGGATCATGTTGCTAACATTCATTTGAACTCCTTATTCCAACAGTCTCTGAATGCCTTGTGGCAGTGATGCAGGGATTCTTAGTTTCTGTACCTGCTTATACACATTAAAAGGAGAAAAGTAAAAGAATCCCTCGGAGCACATTTTTGCTACTGGTTTACTCTCATTCCTCCTCATTGCCTATAAAGACTGGAACCCCTGCATGTTTTACTCGATGGTTTAGAGAAACCGGTTTAGCCTATCCAGAGATAAAGCTGCAGTGTGTTCTGGAGGCACCCAGTCAGGTCTGTATTGTTTTGCTCTAAGGTGCAGTCACCTTAGCAGAATGGAAAAAAGCACCGGGTGTTCAAAGGTATTCCAAGCGTTTAAAGTCATTAGATCTTACACAGAAGGGGATTCTGTTTTCCACTAAGATGCAACTTATGCAATCCCCTGTTAATTACAGTGAAACGAAAAGGGAGAGACCATATTGGAAGCATGCAATACATTGATATTAATTAGGTTGTTTTTTAGCAGACAACAAATCAAAATTTTTTTTGTTGGGCAGAAGCTCAGATTTCTATTGAAATGGTGAATTGACATCCAGATTATGTGTTCTAGACTGTTTTGTTTCAGTTTAAATGATGAAGCCACTGCTTGAATAGTTTTTTTTTTTTTTCTGTAAATCGTTAGCCTAGTAAACTAGCCCCACCCACCAGCGGTCAAAATAATTTTTTGCCTGTGAGTGGTCTAGCCTTGATCAATGCCCCAAGCCCTAGAACTGCTGGGCCAATCATAACTCAGATGTGTTATGAATTTCTGGATGAAAAGCTGGCAGGGTTTTGAGGGTGTAATGACAAAGCTGCGCGATACTGGAGAAAGCACAACAAGGAAGATGGCAACAACTATTGAACAGTTCTCGTTTGACTCAGCTTTGGAATCAGTTTTATGAAGGGTTAGACTTTGGGTTTTTGATGAAACGAGAGCAGGAAGAGGCTCTATGCTCAGAAGGACGTATTCGCCGTTTTTACCGACAGGCTGTTTGTTTACACTCCCCCACCAGCTTTCTGTCACGCTTACTACGCCACAGTCAGTTGCACTCATTGGTCAGAGCGTTGGCCAATAGGCACAGACATGGTTTGAAAAACAACGGGTTGTTCTCATCAACAATCTTTCGATGTCTTATTCATTCATCCAGCCAGACTAAATTACACATTTTAATCTCGCATTTAGTCCGATTTATCAGGCTAGTAAATCGTAGCAGTTTAAACACAAAATAAAACCTAGAAAAAAGTATATTAAAACTGTCAGAGCTCGCTTCTTTTAGGACTTTTTTTACTCTGGGTGGAAATCCTTAGTAGAGCTCTTTTCTGTGGGCTCATAAAAACTCCTGGATCAGAACCCTGCCATGTTGGCCGGGTCCTTCGACCACCTCACACGATTAAGGCTGGAAGTAACCGGCTGTGATTGGGACGGTCTAGCCTTCCTCAGCTCACCTCGGCCTAACTGAAGTCTAATCCTGTAGGTTATAATACCAGCGTAACCATGACAGCATGAGGCATGGACCTATGAGGGGTAAACACAATCTTCTTAATGTAATTTATTCTGAGATGCATCTTATTTATCAGAGGAAAGCTGAAATCTTAGAAAATCCAAATTGATATGGCATCATTGTTGTTGTGACTGGTCTTAGAGAAGAGTAAGGGCAATAAATGCTATATAGCAAAGGTTAAGGTAAAGCGTGCATAAATTATTATTTAGATGAAGAAAGGGTCTGTATTTTCATTTTTTAACGGAATATGTCAGCAAACAGTACATTCCTTCAGCATTTAGTGATTTGATGATTTCTAGCAACACTGCTAACTTTCTTTTCCAATTGTTGCTATTTAAGAAAATTCGTAATGCCCCTTGAAATTTTTCTGTGTTCCCATTTATTTTTTCATTTGGGAACTCTAGTGCTTCTGTAAAAAAAAAAAAAACCCTGCTGCTTTAATTCAATAAATAAATGTTATCATAGATTTAATTATGTTCTAACTCTAAACATTTCTTTTTTTTTTTTTTTTTACAACTTGTAGACTCTAATGCTATAAAGCAGGCATCCCAAAAGTCTGTCCTCGAGGGCCGCTGTCCTGCAGGTTGTAGAGGTTTCTCTGCTTCAGCACAGTTGATTCTGATTATTGCAGTTCAGCAAAAGCATGTTAATCAACTATCAATGTAAATCAGCTGTGCTGGAGCAGGGAAACCTCTAAAACCTGCAGGACAGCGGCCCTCGAGGAACGACTTTGGGGATGCCTGCTATAAAGGATCTTCTGCAGCAGTCTGTCTTACAGCGGTTCTGAAAAAGCCTCTGACTGAAGAAGACCCTGGTTTACAGTCAACCTTTTAGGCTTCTTCCTTTAAAACCCCTTTTAAAATATGCTCTAACTTCATCCGTTGGAGCACTCTAAAACCTTTCTAAGCCGATATGTAACGGAG